ATCTATGGCAATATACCTCAGCACAGAAAGCACCTGTCATGGTTGAATATATTTATATTAACTTATGTCAGGGGTTCTCAACCCAGTCCTCAGGACCCCCTACCAGTCCAGGATTTGGGGATTACCTGGGTGTGTCTCAGGTGTTTAGAAAAAGGGAAAAAAACACCTTAGACTCTAAGGTGTTTTTTTTTTTCTAAACACCTTAGACACACCCAGGTAATCCCTAAACCCTGGACTGGTAGGGGGTCCTGAGGACTAACGTTGAGAACCCCTGACTTATGTGTTTATATATGTGTGTATGTATGTATATATATATATATATATATATATATTTTTTTTTTTTATTAATTTTTTTAATATAATATTGTATCTTATTGTAACAATGCAATGTTTTGTGGACCCAGGACATACTTGAAAACAAGAGAAATCTCAATATATCCTTCCTGGTAAAATATTTTGTAAATAAATAAATGTACATCATAAATGTACAAGGATATACAAGAGCTGGGACGACGAACTACTCACATGGAGGACAAATACGACGAGTTCGCCACGGCCCATAACGACCTAGCCTCTAATGTGGAACACATGGCAGCCAGGATAGACGCTCTCGAAGGGAAAGTGGAGGACCTGGAAGACCGATCTCGTCGGAATAATCTACGATTGAGGGGCATCCCAGAGGAGGTCACTACTGAAGACCTACCAGCATATGTGCGGGGCCTACTACATGCCCATGCCCCGGAGATACCGACGGATATGCTGCTGGTAGACCGGGTTCACCGCATCCCTAAACCCAGGGCGGGTGGAGGAGCGGGGGGGGGTCTATTATTGGTCAATTGCTGTTTGATAAGGGTTGAAACGATGAGACAGTAGAGCAGGGTGACCGTTTGGAAGGCAACCTTAAGCCGCGGAAGCCTTTGTGCTGTACCCGGGGACATGGATGTGGACGGGGCCCGACTATAACCCACTAAAATACTGCTCACCACATACTCGAAAGTGTCCACTGCGCCAGCAGTGAAGGCACATACATAGAGGTGCATACAGCCATGCTAATGGAGAGACAACTCCACAATACCCAAGATGTGGATGATCCACATACAGTCTCCCTGGGAGACGACTTGTACATAGTTTTCACGTTTTCCCTTTCCCCTCCTGTTTTCCCTCATGTTGGTCAGGCAAATTACAATACACTACTAAATACTACTGCTTACAGGCCCATGCATCACTGCTTCCTTGCGCAGACGGGCGACTGGCCTAGGTATCCAGCTGAAGAGGTAACCCAGTACCTAGACCTAGAACACAGGGTTATCCCCTTGGCACTTTATGCTGCTATACTGGTACCTGCTAAACTACTTAGAAGTCCAATATCACTAATTGATCTATGAAAATACAAACAATTAATGCTCGCGGCTTAAATACGCCGCACAAAAGACGGCTCCTCCTGGAGGATGCCAAGCGTCAGCAGTCAGATATTCTCTGTATACAAAGAACTGGAGTCCCCAGTGTGGTACTGTCACTGGATGCTGAAAAAGCGTTTGACAGGCTACACTGGGGCTACCTACAATCCGTACTTAGGAAGCTAGCCTTCCCGGAATGCTTCACTACCCTAGTATCTGCACTTTATAGCAACCCCACTGCAAAAATCTCTAATGGGGGTTTCACCTCCAAACCCTTCTCCATTTCCAACAGGTCAAGGCAGGGGTGCCCACTATCCCCCCTCTTATATATATTAGCACTGGAGCCTTTAGCACAATATATAAGGAACTCACCAGGCATTCATGGGATACTAGCAGGAGGGATGGAGCATAAAATTACACTTTTTGCTGATGACGTAATGCTCACGCTATCCCAACCAGAGACTTCTCTCCCCAAGCTACAAACTGTCTTAACGCGATTCGGCAATTGCTCTTATTATAAGCTAAACACAACAAAAACGCAAGCCATGGGCCTCAACATAACCAAATCCAAACTCCTGGAATTAAAAACTACCCATGCTTATGATTGGCAACAGTCCCACTTAACTTTTTTAGGGGTCCATCTCACACCTCAAACAAACCAACTATATAAGGCCAACTATCTAAAACTACACAACTCAATTAAGCAACAGCTCCTAGCTTGGAAACACAAATACATCTCGTGGACGGGTAGAATAGCGGCCATTAAAATGATGGTCTTACCAAGGTGGCAGTACCTCTTCCGAACCTTGCAGATTAGGTTACCAAGTACTTTTTTTAAAGAGTCCCAACAAGTGATAACTCAATTCATCTGGGGAGGAAAGAAACCTAGGATAGCGGTTGAAACCCTGTATAAACCCTTTAGGGAGGGTGGATTGGGGTTGCCAAACATAGCACGGTACTACGCGGCGGTTGTGATGAGTGCGCTGGTAACTACCTACTTTGATAAAAAGCCACGGAAGTGGAATTCTTTAGAATCCACACACATAGGGGGCCTTTCCCTGTCCACAATGGTTTGGCTGCCTAAAATGTATAGACCGAAATTCAACACTATTAGTCCCACTACAGCAGCAACGATTCAAATATGGGACAGAATCCTTAAAAGGCATCGAAGTGATACTTACATATCCCTCGCTATGCCGATACAAGCCTTACAATTTTATATTCCTAATTTTGACTATGGGTTGTGGCACAAACATGGGGTAACATATATACATCAAATCCTAGCGGAGGGCCGTATCCTGGATTTTACCTCCATAATCCAATCCTATCAACTTCCAGAGAAAGCACAGTACTCGCACATGCAACTACAGTCTTGGGCAAGACAGAATCTCAAAGGAGATGTCCTACAACAGCGCAACTCCTTGTTGGCAGAATTGGAGAAATTGTGCATGGCCCAGAAACTTTCTCCCAAACTGCTGTCCGTAATATATTCACAACTAACGAAATACGATAAACTATGGAAACCATTGTTTCTTAGGGCCTGGGAGAGGGATCTCCACAAAAACATGTCAGACGAACAAAGGGCTGACATATTCCTTGCACACAAAAACCTCACTCTCAATGCATCCCACATAGAACTGAGTAGGAAAGTGTTGTATAGGATGTATATGGTCCCCACAAGGGTGCACAAAATAGCTCATGAAAGATCCAACCTGTGTTGGAGATGCCGGATGGAATCCAGATCTATGCTCCACATTTGGTGGTCCTGTCCACGACTTGCAGGGTTCTGGAAGGACATTTCAACCACGATACAGGCAGTAACAGGCAAGAAACTTACTCACAACCCAGAGACATACTTACTTTTAGCATTGCCGAGGGGTCTTCCCAAAGCCACTCTACATCTCATGTACCATATTATCATTGCAGCCCTGGCGGCAATAGGAAAGATGTGGCTCAGGGACACTCCGCCAGAGATTGGGCAGTGTTTGAGCGAGGTGGACACCACAAAACAATACGAGTTAGAAACAAGACGCCTAAGACCTAAAGGGGAGACATGGCAGGAAGCATGGGCCCAGTGGGACACTTGGCGACAACAGAACTCAACTCACTAAACCCTAGAGGCTCAGAGCCCTTAACATAGACTTCTATTACTGGAGGACCGACACCTTGCCCATAAATACCCATAATTGACCCTAACCTTTCCCTAGTTTTACCCAACCCATATTACTAGAGGACGGGTATGAAGGAAAGGACGGATACGACCGAGGCATTGACAAACGGGTGACGATATTGAGGTTCCCCACACCTTGATGCTACCATGTTGATCTATGACGTTATACAAGGCACGGGAAGCAAGAGTAATACATACTTGACACACTTGGATGAGTGAAGGATCTAATACCCAGTGTTGTTGTACGGTTGCGATGTCTGTACAATGCATCCCTTTCTCTTCTGTACCCCTTTCCCCCCTTAAGTCTTAAAACTTAATAAACTATTGAAACAACAACAAAAAAATAATATTCCAATTATATTTATTTATACCAATATTTAACACTTGCATTTATGAGGTGTCTACAATAATATTAAATGTAGAAATCCACACCTCTTTATCCTGCAAATAGTCTCCTCCATCTTAGCACCCTGCCAATCATTGCTATAAACTCTGTCCTAGTAGTGAAAATCTTCTGTCTTCTTCATTTGCAACGTTTTGGCCTGGTTTTGCCCCACCTGAACTAGATTATGATATAGTTTGCTAAATCTTTATTATACATGTAAAAGAAACTAGAGCATTCAATGAAAAACAAACTAGTTAACACAAGTTGCAGGTGAATTTCACTGTTTTACGGAATGTTGTTGTGACGAAGTGCCCTTCGCCACTTGTGCCTGGAGAGGACTGCTTGCCCGCCTCTTGCCCTGTGACTATGGCCCCTGGGATGTATTGCCCTTTAAAGACATGATTTGGGCATAATGGATTTGTGTTGTGCTGCTGCTGGCCCTTTAAGAACCATCTGGGGACATACTGTGGAGTTACTGGGTGGCCACCATTTCCTGTATCAGAAGCACATGGTGAAAACAATGGATGGCGGCCATTTTAACTCACAGACACTGTTTGGACTTTTCAACACAGTGCCATCTCGCCAGTATTTGGTGCACAGAGACATCATGCAGTGGTTTTGGACTATACAGCAGGGGACACATTATACAGTGATTGTTTTTCATTTAGCCTGTATATGTTCTGCAGAATCTGCATTAAACTGTATTTTCCAAAGTACTGAACGGATCTGGGTGAATTTTGGATATGTGGTTTAACCAGATCCCCCGGTTCCAAGGATATACTTTTTATGGGGTTATTGCATATTTTGGGGTCCCTGTGTGGTTTATGAAATTGTAATGTTTCTGGCCAGCAGATAATTGAGCTTTGTGTATTGTAGAAACTCAATTATCTAGCCTGGCCCAGAGGAGGAGTTTTGTGTTGCATAAATTGTGAGTTCTGTGTGCCAGTAAATCAGTCTTGTTCCAGCATTAAGCCTTGGCTCATGTTTGGGGGATTGGAGAAATACACTCTGGGGATTGCTATAATCACTATACTCCCCAGGGTATGATCACTAAGTTCTGCTAAGAGCTTGTTCCTGCTCTCTGGGGAAAGAGAGGTTCACCCACTGGAAGCTGGATCCTGGCCTTGGGTCCAGGGTGGGTGGAGACAGCAGAGACCTCAGCGCAGTTGCATCGCTGGAAGTGGGGTCTGCAGTGCTGATGGTGTCGGTTGGAGTGCTTGGAGTCCTCGGCAAGCGCTAGGAGCATCGATTGGCGGAGGTACTCAGTCGGAGTGCCAGCGTTCCGTCACAGTTGTAAATTCTAGAGAAAAGATAATTCTGCTTTAAACAGGAAGTGCCTCTATTAGTTGTCTGTTTGACAGCCTCTAGAGCAGGTGTCTTTGCACGGCACTCAAGGCTGCTACAGCCAAACAGGCTCTGGCCTATCAGGAGTCCCAGTAAAACTTCAGACATCTGCTAATATGAAAAGGTGGTGAAGGACAATCCTCAATTTATGCATTGCAGCATGTAGAGGAAGTGATCTCTGTTCTGTTGTAGAGCAGCCTGCAGCTCCTGTCCTTGAACTGTACCAGGCCAGCCTGGTCTCCACTGGAACCCAGGAAAGTCACCCACACTGCTAGATATACACAGACCTGCAGAATAAGCCTTCCCTCATAGAAATAATACAAACAGCACACAAACAAACATACACACAATCCCCACTAACGCAACACCACTAACAATCCACATATATGCACACAACCCCACATGCAGCCTCTCACATGCAATACCCCAAACAGCCCCCACACACTACCAAACACACAATGTGACATATCCATCCACACACAATTCCACAAGCAGCCCTCATACACAGCCCACATTCATACGTATCATACACGATACCATGAACTACTTGTGAACATATAAAATATAATAGCTCATATACGCACAAATACAACGATACAAAGCAATTACAGTAAAAATAACACAAGCAGAATACGGCAGCATACACACCTCAATTTAAAAAAATACGATCGGCACGCTACGGGACATCACAATCCTATATCGGCACAGTGCTGCTAAAAGGTTGCCTACCCCTGCTCTAGAGTAATACTCTGACACATGTATTTCTCATGCTCATAGATTTCTCACATTTTTAGAAATGACAATATTTTTACAATGTCAGAGGAAAGGAACACCATCCAGGCACCAAATCCATTACATTAATATGAAGTAATTTTTGTTCTGAGAGTGTCCCTTTAAATATTTACATATTTACTTACCACAATAATCTTTGAACACTTTTCTTTTTATTCAGCTTTCTCAATGGATGTGAATAATGGTAATTTCAAATAGTTGACATAAATCATTTTCACTTTTCCATTATAAGGATAAGAATGAATGCACAATTAGCATACGTGAGATTACCAGGATCCAAATTGCTTTTACTTTCCAATAGGATGCATTTAAACTTCATCAAATAAATACTTAAAGAGTCATGACCACCATGATCACTACAGGGCTGCGCCATTGGGCTTAGCACAGAGCAGAAGCTAGGAGAAGTCAAACTAATAGCACTCTAGTTGTTATGGTGCTTCGAGTGTTCCTTTAAAAAGTTCAGCAGACACTAGGGTAACTCTATGGAAATGTTGTGTTCTGAAAAAAAGCTGCAAAGTTCTAAAAGTGGGACAAGTAAGGCAATCACCATGGAAACCAGTGAAATCAGCAAGCACTTTCCATAGGTGACTCCTCCCCTTTTCAGAACATGATTTACCATAAGGTGACCACGAGCCCAGGGGTTAGATAGGGACCCCAGAATCATGAATCTGCTTTGCCCCAGAGGGGGGACAACTAAGTAACTTTCCTAGGGACTTATAAGGTCTTAATCCTTATCTGCCCCTTTTATTTATCTGCACCACTTCTTAGAACAACATTGCAATAAATCCTCCTCACTCTCTCAGAAGGATATTAATTTACAATTGATTCGCTAAACACCGGATTTTGTCCGGATGAATATTCAGATCTGGATATCAGCTGTCTGGCAGGGTTTGTTCAAGTTGAAATCCAGACCTAATTCAGGCTAATTCACAGCTTGAATTTAAAAATGTAGAGACATTTCAATAATGTGAATAATGTCCAAATTTTGCAGTCTGAATGGCCGTTGGCACCCAGATGGTTTTGCCCTATTCAGTATGAATAACCCTTTTAAAGTTTTTAGCTAAATTTCTCAATTCCACTTGTAATTTCTCTGGAAAACAAACACAGAACAGTGTGGCAGAATTCTGATTTGCCAAAAACATTTAAAAACGTTATCAAATTTTGTCAACCTGTCCCTTGGACTCCTCCCAAATTATAATCCCAGTGGGAAGCAGAGTTATGTCATTCCCTCACCGAGGTCTAAAAGCAGAAGGTCCACATGTGGAATTATAAACTACTAACCATTACATCTCTCCCTAGCATGTGCTCCTGAGGTTTGCTGGCATTAGTATGAATCGGGGAGATGGGGAGATCATATCATCATTGGATATTTGATGGAGCTATCTTCTCTTAGTTCCTTTTTGGAAATTAATACGCACTAAATTGTCAGAGATATTGGTTGATGGGACACCATTTACTCCTGATGAAGCCATGCCTTTTATCTCTCTCAAATGCCTATTGAACACAGCAAAATGTCTTATACCATGTTTTTGGAAATCATATGTGGTCCCCACCCTCCATCAATGTGTTGTTAAGGTTGAGGAGCATCACTCTATGGAGACCTTCTCATCATACATTCAGCGACGCTCAGCGCAAGTTGGTTTGGTTCCCACGGTTCATTTTGTTTTCACAACTGCCCCCCCCTACCCTGAATAAAGTTTACTTTCAATTGTACGATTGCAGGACTCATTGTCATTTTTTTACCCTCTTCTTCCTCATGTTTTTCTTGGTTTTTCTAGTTTACTTTTTACATAAATCATTCTCTAGGGTTTTCCCTGATGATTATTCTTAGTACTGATTACCTCAATGCATAATTGAATTGACGTTGGTTCTTGTCAATGTCTGTTGTTTTCAACACTGCAATTTCATTATTCCTCAATGCCTTACTTATATTTGCACTTGTTCATTCTTTGCTGTGTTTTTTGTTTACTGCAAATTAATTGTAGAACTCTATATATCTTTAAATAAAGAATGATGATTTTTACAAACTGAAGAGTTATAAACAGGGCTGACTCTAGTGTTTGTGGGGTCAGGCGCAAGATAAAATTCCACGTTTTTAGAGAGACATTAGGCAAGCAGAATAAATCAGGGCTAGGAGGATAAGATATTGGGAGGTGACAACAGTGCTAAGAGAATGAGGGATTAGAGAATAGTAACACAACAGGACTAGAAAGACGGGAAATTAGGCATTCGGATAGGGGGACTGAGTGAAACTGGGCTAAGAGTACAGAGTGACAAAGGGCGAGAGAGATGGGGGCAGAGTCACAAATGGCTAGAGTGTCAGAATTGGCTAAAGAATCCTCAGCAAGGTGAGAGACAGCGAACTAACAAAAGCAACGACAGAGGGATAGGAAGAGGAGTATTACCGGTCGAACAAAATACAAAAGCACGGTACCAGACACAGAAAAGAGTCAGGAACACAGTGAAAAGCAATATCAGAAACAAGCCAGGGACTGGTACACGGAACAGGAAGTCAGACAAGCCAGGGACTGATACACAGAACAGGAAGTCAGACAAGCCAGGGACTGTTACACAGAAAAGGAAGAAAGACAAGCCAGGGACTGGTACACCATACAGGAAGCAGACAAGCCAGGAACCGATACACAAAACGAGAAGTCAGACAAGCCAGGGACTGGTACACGCAACAGGAAGTCAGACAAGCAAGGGACTGGTACACGGAACAGGAGGTAAGACAAGCCGGGAATGATACACGGAACAGGAAGTCAGACAAGTCAGGGACTGGTACACAGAATGGGAAGTCAGACAAGCTAGGGACTAGTACATGGAATGGGAAATCAGACAAGTCAGGGACTGGTACACGGAACAGGAAGTCAGACAAGCTAGGGACTGGTACACGCAACAGGAAGTAAGACAAGCCAGGGACTGGTACGCAGAACAGGAAGTCAGACAAGCCAGGGACTGGTACATGGTACAGTCAGGCAAGCCAGGGACTAGTACACCATACAGGAAGCAGACAGGCCATGGACCGATACACAGAATGGGAAGTCAGACAAGTCAGGGACTGGTACACCATACAGAAAGTCAGACAAGCCAGGGACTGGTACACCATACAGGAAGCAGACAGGCCAGGGACCAATACACAGAATGGGAAATCAGACAAGTCAGGGACTGGTACACAGAACAGAAAGTCAGACAAGCCAGGGACTGATACATGGAACAGGAAGTCAGACAAGCCAGGGACTGGTACATGAAAAGGAAAGTCAGACAAGCCAGGGACTGGTACACCATACAGGAAGTCAGGCAAGCCAGGGACTGGTACATGAAATGGAAAGTCAGACAAGCCAGGGACTGGTACACCATACAGGAAGTCAGGCAAGCCAGGGACTGGTACACGTAACGGGAAGTCAGACAAGCTAGGGACTAGTACATGGAATGAAAAGTTAGACAAGCCAGGGACTGGTACACGGAACAGGATGTCAGACAAGCCAGGGACTGGTACACCATACAGGAAGTCAGACAAGCCAGGGACTGGTACACAGAACGGGAAGTCAGACGAGCTAGGGACTAGTACACGGAACAGGAAGTCAGACAAGCCAGGGACTGGTACACCATACAGGAAGTCAGACAAGCCAGGGACTGGTACACGGAAAACGAAGTAAGACTAGCCGGGAATGATACACCGAACAGGAAGTCAGACAAATTAGGGACTGGTACACAGAATGGGAGATCAGACAAGCTAGGGACTAGTACATGGAATGGGAAGTCAGACAAGCCAGGGACTGGTACACGGAACAGGAAGTCAGACAAACCAGGGAATGGTACACGGAACAGGAAGTAAGACAAGCCAGGGACTGGTACACGGAACAGGAAGTCAGAGAAGCGGGGGACTAATACACGGAACGGGAAGTCAGACAAACCAGGGACTGGTACATGGAACAGGAAGTCAGACAAGCCAGGGACTGGTACACCATACAGGGAGTCAGACAAGCCAGGGACTGGTACACGGAACGTGAAGTCAGACAAGCCAGGGACTGGTACACCATACAGGAAGTCAGAGAAGCCAGGGACTGGTACACAGAACAGGAAGTCAGACAAGTCAGGGACTGGTACACAGAACAGGAAGTCAGACAAGCCAGGGACTGTTACACAGAAAAGGAAGAAAGACAAGCCAGGGACTGGTACACCATACAGGAAGCAGACAAGCCAGGAACCGATACACAAAACGAGAAGTCAGACAAGCCAGGGACTGGTACACGCAACAGGAAGTCAGACAAGCAAGGGACTGGTACACGGAACAGGAGGTAAGACAAGCCGGGAATGATACACGGAACAGGAAGTCAGACAAGTCAGGGACTGGTACACAGAATGGGAAGTCAGACAAGCTAGGGACTAGTACATGGAATGGGAAATCAGACAAGTCAGGGACTGGTACACGGAACAGGAAGTCAGACAAGCTAGGGACTGGTACACGCAACAGGAAGTAAGACAAGCCAGGGACTGGTACACAGAACAGGAAGTCAGACAAGCCAGGGACTGGTACATGGTACAGTCAGGCAAGCCAGGGACTAGTACACCATACAGGAAGCAGACAGGCCATGGACCGATACACAGAATGGGAAGTCAGACAAGTCAGGGACTGGTACACCATACAGAAAGTCAGACAAGCCAGGGACTGGTACACCATACAGGAAGCAGACAGGCCAGGGACCAATACACAGAATGGGAAATCAGACAAGTCAGGGACTGGTACACAGAACAGAAAGTCAGACAAGCCAGGGACTGATACATGGAACAGGAAGTCAGACAAGCCAGGGACTGGTACATGAAAAGGAAAGTCAGACAAGCCAGGGACTGGTACACCATACAGGAAGTCAGGCAAGCCAGGGACTGGTACATGAAATGGAAAGTCAGACAAGCCAGGGACTGGTACACCATACAGGAAGTCAGGCAAGCCAGGGACTGGTACACGTAACGGGAAGTCAGACAAGCTAGGGACTAGTACATGGAATGAAAAGTTAGACAAGCCAGGGACTGGTACACGGAACAGGATGTCAGACAAGCCAGGGACTGGTACACCATACAGGAAGTCAGACAAGCCAGGGACTGGTACACAGAACGGGAAGTCAGACGAGCTAGGGACTAGTACACGGAACAGGAAGTCAGACAAGCCAGGGACTGGTACACCATACAGGAAGTCAGACAAGCCAGGGACTGGTACACGGAAGACGAAGTAAGACTAGCCGGGAATGATACACCGAACAGGAAGTCAGACAAATTAGGGACTGGTACACAGAATGGGAGATCAGACAAGCTAGGGACTAGTACATGGAATGGGAAGTCAGACAAGCCAGGGACTGGTACACGGAACAGGAAGTCAGACAAACCAGGGAATGGTACACGGAACAGGAAGTAAGACAAGCCAGGGACTGGTACACGGAACAGGAAGTCAGAGAAGCGGGGGACTAATACACGGAACGGGAAGTCAGACAAACCAGGGACTGGTACATGGAACAGGAAGTCAGACAAGCCAGGGACTGGTACACCATACAGGGAGACAGACAAGCCAGGGACTGGTACACGGAACGTGAAGTCAGACAAGCCAGGGACTGGTACACCATACAGGAAGTCAGAGAAGCCAGGGACTGGTACACAGAACAGGAAGTCAGACAAGTCAGGGACTGGTACACGGAACAGGAAGTCAGACAAGCCAGGGACTGGTACACGGAACAGGAAGTCAGACAAGCCAGAGACTGGTACACGGAACAGGAAGTCAGACAACCCCGGGATAGATACACGGAACAGGAAGTCAGACAAGCCAGGGACTGGTACACCATACAGGAAGTCAGACAAGCCAGGGACTGGTACACGGAACAGGAAGTAAGACAAGCCAGAGACTGATACATGGAACAGGAAGGCAGACAAGCCAGGGACTGGTACACCATACAGGAAGTCAGACAAGCCAGGGACTGGTACATGAAATGGAAAGTGAGACAAGCCAGGGACTGGTACACCATACAGGAAGTCAGACAAGCCAGGGACTGATACATGGAACAGGAAGTCAGAGAAGCCAGGGACTGGTACACGGAACAGGAAGGAAGTAAGACAAGCCAGGCACTGGTACACCATACAGGAAGTCAGACAAGGCAGGGACTGGTACACGGAACAGGAAGTAAGACAAGCCAGGGACTGGTACATATACAGGAAGTCAGACAAGCCAGGACTGATACACAGAACAGGAAGTCAGACAAGGCAGTGACTGGTACACCATACAGGAAGTCAGGCAAGCCAGGGACTGGTACTCGTAACGGGAAGTCAGACAAGCCAGGGACTGGTACACGGAACAGGAAGTCAGACAAGCCAGGGATGGATACAGAGAACGGGAAATCAGACAAGCCAGGGACTGGTACACCATACAGGAAGTCAGACAACCCAGGGACTGGTACACAGAAGAGGAAGTCAGACAAGCTAGGGACTAGTACATTGAATGAAAAGTCAGACAAGCCATGGACTGGTACACGGAACAGGATGTCAGACAAACCAGGGACTGGTAGACCATACAGGAAGTCAGACAAGCCAGGGACTGATACATGGAACAGGAAGTCAGACAAGCCAAGGACTGATACACAGAACAGGAAGTCAAACAAGCCAGGGCCTGGTATACGGAACGGGAAGTCAGACAAGCCAGGGACTGGTACACGGAACAGGAAGTCAGACAACCAAGGGATGGATACACGGAACAGGAAGTCAGACAAGCCAGGGACTGGTACACCATACAGGAAGTCAGACAAGCCAGGGACTGGTACACGGAACAGGAAGTAAGACAAGCCAGAGACTGATACATGGAACAGGAAGGCAGACAAGCCAGGGACTGGTACACCATACAGGAAGTCAGACAAGCCGGGGACTGGTACATGAAATGGAAAGTCAGACAAGCCAGGGACTGGTACACCATACAGGAAGTCAGGCAAGCCAGGGACTGGTACACATAACGGGAAGTCAGACAAGCCAGGGACTGGTGCACGGAACAGGAAGTCAGACAAGCCAGGGATGGATACACAGAACAGGAAGTCAGACAAGCCAGGCACTGGTACACCATACAGGAAGTCAGACAAGCCAGGGACTGATACATGGAACAGGAAGTCAGACAAGCCAGGGACTGGTACATGGAACAGGAAGTAAGACAAGCTAGGGACTGGTACACCATACAGGAAGTCAGACAAGCCAGGGACTGATACACAGAACAGGAAGTCAGACAAGCCAGTGACTGGTAAACCATACAGGAAGTCAGGCAAGCCAGGGACTGGTACGCGTAACGGGAAGTCAGACAAGCCAGGGACTGGTACACGGAACAGGAAGTCAGACAAGCCAGGGATGGATACAGAGAACGGGAAGTCAGACAAGCCAGGGACTGGTACACCATACAGGAAGTCAGACAACCCAGGGACTGGTACACAGAAGAGGAAGTCAGACAAGCTAGGGACTAGTACATTGAATGAAAAGTCAGACAAGCCATGGACTGGTACACGGAACAGGATGTCAGACAAACCAGGGACTGGTAGACCATACAGGAAGTCAGACAAGCCAGGCACTGATACATGGAACAGGATGTCAGACAAGCCAGGGACTGGTACACCATACAGGAAGTCAGACAAGCCAGGGACTGGTAAATGGAACAGGAAGTCAGACAAGCCAAGGACTGATACACAGAACAGGAAGTCAAACAAACCAGGGCCTGGTATACGGAACGGGAAGTCAGACAAGCCAGGGACTGGTACACGGAACAGGATGTCAGACAACCCAGGGATGGATACAAGGAACAGGAAGTCAGACAAGCCAGGGACTGGTACACCATACAGGAAGTCAGACAAGCCAGGGACTGATACATGGAACAGGAAGTCAGAGAAGCCAGGGACTGGTACACGGAACAGGAAGTAAGACAAGCCAGGCACTGGTACACCATACAGGAAGTCAGACAAGCCAGAGACTGATACATGGAACAGAAAGTCAGAGAAGCCAGGGACTGGTACACGGAACAGGAAGTAAGACAAGCCAGGGACTGGTACACCATACAGGAAGTCAGACAAGCCAGGGACTGATACACAGAACAGGAAGTCAGACAAGGCAGTGACTGGTACACCATACAGGAAGTCAGGCAAGCCAGGGACTGGTACTCGTAACGGGAAGTCAGACAAGCCAGGGACTGGTACACGGAACAGGAAGTCAGACAAGCCAGGGATGGATACAGAGAATGGGAAGTCAGACAAGCCAGGGACTGGTACACCAGCCAAGAATCGACCCTGGTTATAAAAATGCACATTGAACGTGTTTAAAGTAAGATAAATTAAAAAACAAGCCAAAATAATAATATTCAATCCCTCTAGTGATACTATATGTCAGGATATGAGCTCAGAAGAGTCAGACAGTGTCATTTTGTCTACCAAACTCCTCCCCTGGCATATTAGCAGCAGGAAAGGGGCTACATTAATCGTGGCAGCTGCAAATTCCAGCTGCTGCCTGGGAGTGTAACTCCCACTGACCTTAGGCAGTCCAAGACAGGCAATACATTTTTTATTACACCGTGTGACATCAATGACCATTCACTGTTCAGCATGGGCTAGGAAATATGATCTGTCTGTTGAAACAGAGGATTATGTAATATTATAGGACATATTACAGTGAAGCATGTGTTATGAGAAAATGATGTCTGTGAGTGTCACATCATAAACCATTAGACTGAAGATAGATGGTTCATTCTGGTTAATGGATGTCTGTAGAACCCGGAGACATTTAATACACATGTTCCCAAAAGGATTGACAATAAAAGGGAAATAATGGTAAAAAATGATCTATTTTATAATTTCATATTTTCATTTTTATTTGTTATATTTATAACATGTGGCCACTGGCCATATACTTTAAAAAAAAGACATTAAATAATTCCTTTAAAAAATTTGTGCAAAAAAAAATTAAAAGTCTATTTACAAAATATTAAACTTCCAAAATCCTGAAACACCTGCTCAAACACAACGTCTGCAGCTTCAGGCCAACCCTCCCTCACCATGACGAGACGCTCCAATCATTCTATGAATAGACTCTGATCTCATCCAATAAATCTCTGCCCAGGAGGATATTATGGGATGAGCATTATTTCCACCAGGAGGAGCAGTTCCAATCATCACACAGGTGACTGCTCAATGAACTGATAGAAGTCATGCTGCGGGTGGTGGAACAGCAGGGATGCAGTCCTCACATGCCTACCATCAGTTCTTCATGAGGAAGAGATAGGAATCCTTTGTACCTATAAGTGATGACAATTGAAGAGGTCACAATAGAGACAAATCTTAGTTTGACCAGTAGTCCATTCACATACTTTCACAGATATACTTGCTTACATAGCTTTAGTACATTTGGTAATTAACATCGTCATAGGAAGGCAATTGCTGTTTCACATTATCCTAGATTGTGTCATTAAACATGCTTGAGCTGTGCCACATTACTAGAACCATGCAGAAAGCGATTCAGCAGCACTCTCTGCACAGTCCTGTATGCTGGGGGCTGCCAGAAGGTAGTCTACCAGCCTAGCGAGATTGATGCCAGGCTGACATGCATAGGTGGCATGGGTCGGCTTGCCCATTAGTGGTCTCTCCTCTCCCTTCACCCTTAATGGTTTCTTCTCACCCCCCTCCCCTAGTGATCTCTCCTCCACCCCCCACCCTCCCCTAGTGGCCTCTCTTCCCCCCAGCATCCCACCCTAGTGGTCTCTCCTCCACCCCCCCCAACCTCCCTGATTGGTTTCTCCTCATCCCCGACCCCTACCCTAGTGGTCCATAATCAACCCCCTCCCCTTCTCTTAGTGGTCTCTCTTCTCCCCCCACCTCTCCCTAATGGTCTCTCCTCACCCAGACCCTTAGTGGTCTCTCCTCACTCCCCCTTCCCATAGTGGTCTCTCCTCACCCACCACCTCTAGCGGAGTAGGACCATATAAGACTTGCACTTTAAACGTAGCACATAATATTAGAACATATTGCACTATTGGCTTTCTCATTGGTGTAACCTTTTCCTGTTTTGCTGCATTATTCTATTTCTGTTGGGTCATTGAGGGAGCCCCGTTTTTTAGGTTTGCTGCTGCTTATTCTTTTCTATTTGGTTGTACTGCGCTGATCCTTCTGTTTGCTTTGAATAAAACAAACTGTCGGCGCCCAGAATCTCATGTCCCAGGCATTGGGTGATATAATTAATAGAAAATTCTCAGTGGTGCCCCCCTTCAGGTTGCGCCCAGGACATGTGCCATACTTGCTATACCCTAGGTACACTACTGGTGACAACTCATTATGGCTATTCTACTCCTTGCTTCACTTGTACATCGTCCTGCTATTTTGATCTAAATTGTCACACATTACTACATAATAACTGTCCTTTCTGGTCGGTGAACCAGTTACCACTATATATAAGTCAAAATGGTCACCAGTGAAAGGTTGCAATTAATGGTCATTATCTAATTTTTTTTTTCATCAGACTTTTGTTGGCTTTTTGAATAATTGAGGTCTTTGCACCCTTGCTGGATAGGGATAAAGGCTACAGATGGGAACTTATATTTTATATTATTATTTAGCACATTTTTCATGACCACTCCATTCTATTCATGTACATGCACTGAGCACAACAGTACTATACTGACTGGCATCATATTTTGTATTTGCAAAAGATACAGTCAAGTAAACTAGGTTTTTGTTACTTAATCCTAAAGTATTTATTCTTGTGGAAGTTAGTTTTCAAAGTGTATCATTTTAATAGCTTGATTTCATTTTAAAAAGTTTCTCTTCCATTCCTCTTCCAGTTTAATCCTTCCATCATTGTCTTTGGTGCATCTCAGAATAGTATTACTTCTTCCAAATGTATATCAACCTAATTAAAGGAGCACTATAGGGTCAGGAACACAAACATGTATACCCTACGGTTAAAACCATCATCTAGGCCCCCTGGTCCACTCATGCCTCCCTAAATATAGTAAACTCTTACTTGTATTCAAGTCTGCAGCTGCTTAATTTGTCCCTGTTTCCTTTAGACCTGCCCACTGCCTGCTGACATCAGCAGAAGTGGTAGCCTGATCCAATCACAATGCTTCCCCATATGATTGGCTGAGACTGACAAAGAGGGGCAGAGCCAGCACAATTCAAACACAGCCCTGGCCAATCAGCATCTCCTTATAGAGATGAATTGAATCAATGAAGCTCTGTGAGGAAAGTTCAGTGTCTGCATGCAGAGGGTGGAGATACTAAATGTTTGGATGCATTTTAGGCAGCCATGACCCAGGAAGGATCTCTGACAGCCATTTTAGGAGTGGCCAGTGAAGTTATCACTAGGCTGTAATGTAAACACTGCAATTTCTCTGAAACAAGCAGTGATTACAGCAAAAAGCTAGAAGGTACTGATTATACTCACCAGAACAAATTCAATAAGCTGTAGTTGTTCTGGTGACTATAGTGTCCCTTTAAGCTGGTGTGTTTCTAAATATGCATGGGTGTTCTCCATATTGTATATGTATGTTTTGAAATTTTCCTTTGTAAATATGTATTTTTGAGTCAATAGCTTAATAGACAACCACACTGAGCAGATATAAACTCAAAATTTCTCATGCTTATCTTTAGGTATAGAGCTGTGAAGGCCAGAGGCCTTTCACACAGTTCCAGCTTGTCTGAAAATGAAAAAAATTCTCCGTACCGATATGTTTGTTCATTTAGCCAATGTTTCTGATTTAAAGAGGGACACGCTTAGGCAGGCACAGGTTGACGTCAATGTGAAAACATACCCAGATAGTAAATACCAAGGGCTTACTTCTTGATTGATATACGTCTCACCCAAACACAAACACAATAGTATTATGTTATGCTGTGGTCTAAATGTGAGAATGTTTTATTAGTGTAAGAGTTTATTGCCCTATGTATTTTTTTCCTAAAATCAAGCTGTCTCAACACTGGATTCAGAGAGTACTGTCCAAATAAAACACAAAAACACAAATCATTATAATAAAGTGAGTATATACCATAAACTAGATTACTGTTCTGTTCATAGCACTAATAAAATATTTATAAAAAGGCACACAATACTATTTTGAGTCATGACACTTTATAATACCATTTACACCACTGAGTACCCACAGTAGTCCTACACTAATTTTACATGGAAGATCAACATGCTAACTGCAATATTTTTAAACTGCCTTCAGAAACTCCTCAATTAATGCTTTCCTCTGGTCACCTCCAAAGGGGCACCTACAGTGGATGGGAAGGGTGCTCAATCCAATAGGAATAATGTCTGGATTCCAAATAAACACAGAAAAAAGGATTAAATATCACAGATTAAAGTTTTGCAAGGCTACTTAAACTGATTTATCTTAGCAAACAAATATTGGGATTCAGTTACACCAAGCATGTCAAACTTAAAGGCTAGCACAGGCCACATAAACAAGGTTTAAGTTTATGTGGGGGGCGGGGCCTGCCCGCCATGCTGACCGGTCGCATGCGGGTGAGGCTCCTGCAGAAAGTAACCTTTTTGAAAGATAATCTGGCACTCACAGCCTTAATTCGAGCCAGAGGGGAACTGCTCTGTGCTAGAGCTGAAGTGGGCACAACAGCAGGCTCTGAGATCGGGAGCTTTGGGGCCCCACGGGCTAGACAAGGCTTTGGAGCTTGCGGCCTTCATGGGAGAGAAGCGGGACGGACGGACGCCGCCCTGCTCACCTTCCTGGCTGCCACACGACTACTCTATGGCACATCTCACAGGCCCTCCCCCCCCCCCTTTGGACCGGGGGGGTCATCCCGGTCTCCACTGGAGGATACCGGCGCGGCCCTCAACAAAGCCTGCAGGGCGCACTCCAACTGCCCCAAATCTTATAAATGGCCGCCGCATGGACTAACCGCCACGCAGCACCCAGAGAAACCCCTCGCTACCAACAAGGGGACTGAGCGAACCCCTGGCCCCAGCAACACCTGTAACCAGCTACCAGGTTCTACCTACCCAAGCCTCAATCCAGGCGATATGGCACCCCACATGGTAGCGGTACACTCTGGAGGGAGGCCCAACGGCACCAGACCGCCACCAGCCTACTCCCTGGCAAGGTCGGGATCAGCAGCTCATCTACCGAGCTGGGAAAGCACAAGACACACATCTGGGCCGGACCCCAGCCGACCACCCACTACTCCACACCTGAGCTCAAGACTGGGAGAGGGAACGACGCTGCCATGCATGAAACAGGAAGAGATGGCACAACATGATCAGCATGGGGCAAGTGAGAACAGCCGTTGGCACACCGCTCTGTCTTCCAGAGAGACTCAACTACCTACCCGATTTGGTATCTGCGCCCAGTGAACATACCCACAAACTCTCATATGCTTACTCTGGTATTAATCGAAATTATGTTCAGCTGGTTAGCCGTTATTAATTTTTGTTTTCTCTACGAGCAGGGGGTGCAGGGGGTTCAATCCTGTTCTATTCAAGCTCTCTCTTTATTTTATCTATACAGTGTGTTGATGGAATCTAAAATCTCTACAGTGTGGTACCCAGTGGAATATTAGCCTGTCACGGTTTATTAGCATGTCAACCTAATGTGATAACTACTCATACCTCCATATCTAGCTAGTTATCTGAGTCACAAAACTAAATGTATGCATTTCAGTTATATTTCTTATGCTAGCTCACGTTCTGATCTCTTGTAGCTAGACTTGACTGAATATGTAGTAAGTTTATGCACACAAAGTTTACATGGCATTCATAAACACGCACTCACACAGCAACCCTACAAGCAACGCACAAACTAGCTCAACGAACCGCGCTGCGGCATGATTTATAATGTCAAATATAAATAACCAAGCGAGAGCCTGAATTGCTGCAATGTTGACTTGGTTATAAACGCCTGTCCACACAAATATTGCAGTGCTACACACCTTACCATAACATTAAGCGAGAACAATTCTGTTATATACACATTTAGCATAGCATGTTTATTGCAAACCACAAATGTTTTATAGCATGTTATTTTCATGAGGGAAAAAAAAAAATGTGCTGTTTAACCTGCCACACTTTGAAATGCTATGAATCTGCTTGCAGTGGCTGTCGTGGCTCTGCACGCTTGTTGTTACTTCATGCACAAATAAAATAAAGAATTAAAAAAAAAAAAAAAAAAAGTTTATGTGGGCCGCCAAAAAAAAACACCTTAAATTTTCATAGAAAAGTAGGTTTGTGTTAAAAATTACATTATAAAAAAAAACAGCATCTCCCTCTACTAAACCCCAGTCCCTCCTCTGTACTAAATACCAGTCCCCCCTCTGTACTAATTCACAGCCCTCCCTCTGTACTAATTCAAAGTCCCCCCTCTGTACTAAATCCCAGCACCCCCTCTGTACTAAATCCCAGCACCCCCTCTATACTAAATCCCAGCACCCCCTCTAGTAAACCCCAGCCCTTGTTTTAAAAACAAAAACAAAAAAAACAATATTAGCCAACAAGCAGACTCCACTCACATTGCCGCTGCCAGTATGCGAAGTCCAGCCTCTGGTATACCCCCAATGGCGCTGTCCGCATCCTGTGCCAAATGGATCCTCCTGCTACTACTTGAAAACCTGTGAAGGTGGAGCATGTTAACGTCACGTCAGAATGTGGCGTTGCGTGCCCCGCCAGGTTCTCCACTGTCCAGCTGCGGCCATCGCAACACTGACCAACACACACTGACAGACACACACTCTCTGACATACACACACTGACAGACAGACAGACATACACACAGACAGACACACACTGACAGACACACAGATAGACAAAGATACACACTAACAGTCACACACACACACTGACAGACACACACAGTGACAGACTGACACAAGCAGTGACAGTCACACACAGTAACAGTCACACACACAGTGACAGACACACACAGTGACAGACACACACAGTGACAGTCACAAACACACACAGTGACACACACACACACTGACAGTCACACACACACACACACACACACAGTGACAGTCTCACACACACACAGTGACAGTCACACACACACACAGTGACAGACACACATAGTGACAGTCACACACACACACACATAGTGACAGACACACACAGTGACAGTCACACACACACTGACAGTCACACACACACACACAGTGACAGACACACACACACACACAGTGACAGACACACGCACTGACAGTCACCCACTCACATCATTGTATTCATTGCTCCATACCTTTGGGAGCTGGTGTGGGACCTCTCCCTGATCTTCTCTTGGGAGCTCAGCGTTCTTGCTCCTCACTGCTCCCGCGCGCGCATATGACATCATATTGCGGCGTCCGGCTTCACTTCAGAAGGCACGCAGGAGCAGTGAGGAGCAAGAAGGTAGAGCTCCCTCGCTGCTGCCAGAGACCTCTCGCCTGGCCGGGTAAATGAGCAGAGTAGGCACCTGCAATGTGGGGAGAGGAGGTGCCTACTCTGTTTTAGTAAGCATGTCAAGCTCGTGGACTGCAAAAATAATCATTGTGGGCCGCATGCGGTCCCCACGAGTTTGACATGCTTGAGTTACACCATATGGCTGTATCGTGTTAAACCCACCACTAAGCCGTAATAACCCAATATCGTTGGGTCTTACACTAACTAGGGGTGGTTACTAAATCCCCATATTTGTTGGTTGTGTGTTAACAGTGTGTATCTGTGGGTGTCTGAAAGTTTGTGTGGCTGTGAGTATATGTGTGTCTAACAGTGTGTGTCTGGCATTGAGTATCTGGGTACGTGTCTAACATTGTGTATCTGTCTGTGTGTGCATGTGGTATTGTTAATCTACGTGTTTGTGAGTATTTAACTGAGTGTCTGGGTCTGGCTGGGTGTTTAACAGTGTGTATCTGTGGATGTCTGACAGTTTGTGTGTCTGGGAGTATGTGTGTATCTAACAGTGTATATCTGGCAGTGAGTGTCTGCGTATGTGTCCAGCACTGTGTATCTGTGTGTCTGCGTATGTGGTATTGTGCATCTATGTGTTTGTGAGTATTTAATTGTGTGTCTGGGTGTCTGGGAATGTTTGTACCAAGCGTAGTCCCAGCCACTTGATGTAGAATGGAATCCCATAAGTTCTATGGCAGTTCTGATTGAAACAATTAAATTAACAGACCACTTCTGCAGTATTCATACAAAGTGATATTCATAAAAAGCTTAGCACCTATTGGCAGCATCTGACATAATGAGGCCCAGCAATAAGGGACAGCACAACCCAGGAAGTTCTTTTTTACCGCTAGTCAAAGTTGGCTAGAGTAGCCTTCTTTCCAATGTTTGGAGAAAAAAAAATCAGTGAACAACTATTTAAAAATTAAAATATGTAATTTATTCATGATCCTGTAATATTACATGCAGGTTGGAACAATCACCCTTAAATGAAATTAGAGCAATGGCCTAGTGTGTTTTGTGTTACAGAAAGCACGTAATACCTGGAATGATGGACACCCATAGCCGTGTGTGAAAGAGATATTGTATATCCAGGAATACTGGTGAGAGCAATAACCCCATCTCATTCCAAATAGGCACATGGGTTTTGGGTTATTTATTTGCTATATAAAAAGGATTATTCATTCATGAGAATCTTTTTCTGTTATTTGGAGAGTCCCAGACTAGAGAATTCTCCTCAAGCTAAATATGTAAATCGAGTTCAAATCTGATAACAGGTGAACAAAATTGGGAGGGAGCAAGCATTCCTCTGGAGATGACAAGAGAGAGACAGGTAGAATATTAAAAAGACCTCGTGGGAACCATTTTCCATGATAGCTGGAACATTGTCTAGTCATGCTTTCCCCCTATATGAAGGAAAAGACTATAAGACTAGAGTGTTTCTGGACACAGTGCTTGCTTTTTGGTTTTCAAGCAGAACTTTTCTGTATTATAATCTAGCAAATGAAAAAGGCAGGGACATATTGTATCACTTATCTTAATAACCTTCAGCCTCCTCTAAAGTTCATTATTAACTTCCTCACCTTCTAAGTAGGAAAACCAAATGCCAGCAGAAAATATTACCTTTAAAAGGGCAAATTCTACCAAACCGTTCTAATTTCCAAGTCAGTATTGCCTTACTGTACTTAAGTGGATGGACGATGTCAATTCCAGTAGGGCTCACACTTCATCTATATATCTGGGATGGTCCCTAATGTGTTAAAGGACCACTATAGGCACCCAGACCACTTCAGCTCAATGAAGTTGTCTGGGTGCCAGGTCTCCCTAGTTTTAAACCTGCAGCTGAAAACATAGTAGTTTCAGAGAGACTATGTTTACATTGAGGGTTAATCCAGCCTCTAGTGGCTGTCTCAGAGAAAATCGCATTGAACTCACGCTGGACGTCCATAGAAAAGCAATAAGTAATGCTTTCCTATGGGTGGTCTGAATGCGCGCGCAGGGGGAGGAGAGGTCACCAGCACTGAGGGAGCCCGGTGCTAGCGGGAGGGGGGGCCACAATATATCTATAGTGCCAGGAAAACGAGTTTGTTTTCCTGGCACTATATTGGTCATTTAACTCTGTTTGTGTAGAATGATATTGTTAAATGGGCAAGAAATGACCCCTGTTCCAGTTTTTCACCTGGTAGCTCTGGCAGTGTATATACTGATCTGGTTTTGATTTGTTGGATTCCGAAAACATCTAGGATTATTTTATTATGATTAAAACACTGTGCAGATTGGAGTTTAGTGGAACTTTCCTTTAGTTGTTACAATGTTTTCACTGATTTAATAAATGTATCTGTTTTCTCAACATTAAATCTATATGCAGTATATTATGTTACTCCCTTATGTTTTCTCAGTTTCTTTGAATATTATTCAGTGATTCACTCGATTTAGTGGTTTCTTTTGCATATATATATCATCTCCTTTTTGTGAACTATTATTATTATATTATGTATTTAGCTACTGATTTATCTAATTATGTTTTATATATTATCCCTGGTGGTATAATTTAATTTCTCTGTCTCTTAAGTAATGTCAACACGTATGAAAGTGTTAACATTTGAACTTTTTGCCCTCTTTTTACAGTCCTAACTGAACGTTGGTTTCAGCACACCACAACCAACAACCAAGTTACCACTACTACAATAACTCGGCTTATTGGTCCCGAATACATATAGAACGGTGAAGTCTAAGGTGGAGCCTTTAATTGTGGCAGGGGTTACCTGGCCTATAAACACTCAGGCTGACCCTTCCTCTGGGCCGACACAGTTTGGTTTAGCCCACCCACCATTCCCCTTATAAAGCCATTCATTTTGGTGGACCCTCTCTTTACAGGCCTACCCGAATGTTGGTTTCAGCACAAGACAACCAACTTACACCACTACTACTATAACTCTGCTTATTGTCCCTGAGTACAATTATATATATATATACACACATTTTTTATTGATTTGTGCCCTGACTAATAACCTATTCTCCAAGCAATTTTTATGTAGACCTTCTGTACCACATTACCAAATAGCAAACTTCTGAACAATGGCTGGTATGAAATCAAAACAGGTGGGTAAGCCTTCAAGGCTACAAGCCTAGGACGTTGGCATGCTCTGACAATTCACAGGGAACTAAATTTGGATGGCTGGGCAGGACCCCAAAATCGAGACTGTCTTACCAAAAGTGTGACAGTTTGGAGTCCTGCATATTATGGAAATGCCTACTATTAGCAAATGCTCTGTAAGCTGTAGGATCAATGTACATTATCAAGCAAATAATAAAGGAGCTCTGTGGTGAGAGGAGAGATTGTTATAACGTATGGTGATTTGTATATCAACTGTGGTAAACGCTTTTGCATATGCAACACCAGAGAAGGTCTACAGATAGAAAGACTTCCTGAGCGTGAGCAGAAACATGATGGTAAACACAAGAGAAAAAGAAAATGGCAGAAGGCAAAGTAAGTAGTCCAGAAAAGTCAGGGGTCCTAAAGCTGAGCATGAGACAAGCAATTTAAAGGAACACTCCAAGTACCATATCCATGGCAGCCAGCTATGTTATGTTAAGTTATGGTGCAAATATATGTATATTTCTATGCTTTTCTTGCAATAGGCACATCCCCCGAGCAGAAGAGGAGAGCAGCAGACTGATGCCTCGGGACACCTAAAGTGTTAAAATGTTTGAGAAGGATAGATAGGAATAACCAACGTTAATTATTGCTTAAACCCAGGAGTAAGTAGTCTGTCAGTGTAATTATATTCTTGTCCTGAGTGAGCTGGCTGGTGATCATGAAACATTGTCTGAAAAGACTGTGCATTGTAGACCTGTGCATTAGATAAGAGTTTGAACCTTTTTTTAAAAAAAACCCCAAAGAACAGGTGCCTGGCTCAACTTTCTGGGGTACGTCAGCTGATTTCTGACAACAAAAGGCGAGCAAGAAGTGAAAGTCAGGGATTTCTGTAACTGGGAGCAATAGCTGATGACAATCTTCCTATAACGTGCACAGAATTAAACAAAGTATAAAAAGAGTCTTCGGCTTCACCTCTCGACGTGATCTATCAGAATAATGAACACCAAACACTTTCCAAACAATGACAAAGAACTTAAGAAAGAAAAATAAATACAATAAACACTATGGATGCAATACCTGCATCTCCGTGAGCAAATATTTAATCCTATCGCTTTCTGTATTCCAGATAACTGAAACAAAACTATTTATTTACTCTGTGTTTGAGCCTGCAACGGTGCTGCATTGTGTTTTTTTTTGTTTGGTTTTATGTTCCTTATGATGTAGCACAGACTATATGAATGTGCTGAAATAGAAGCTAAGTTCTGTTGCTATAAAAGGTGAACAATCCATAATAACTAAATCCAGATAAATGTGCTGCACTACTGTACATATTGAGGCCCATCAGGAGAAATGTTCACTGGTTTATACATAGAAATGTAAACATGAGACGAGCACAGTATAATATTAATTAATGAAAGTGGATACATTAAAAAGATGCAGACTATGCACCCGTACCATGATATCGTAAAAGGAACACTATAGTGTCAAGAATACAAACCTGTATTCCTGACACTATGGGTGTGAAAACACTGTTTAGGTGCCTCACCCACCTTGTCCCCCGCCTTGTGAAAAATATATTTTACTTACCTTTTTCATGTGTGGCGCGGGTCTTGTCACAGCTAGCCCTGTCCATGCTGTGCCTCGTTGGCTGAGATCATCAATTTTGATGATTTTGCCAATCCATTGCTTTTTCCATAGGAAACCACTGGGAGGCTATTGTGCATGCGCGACAAAGCACAGCGCTGCTCTAATCAGCATCTCTTTATAGAGAAGCATTGAATCTATGCATCTCAAAGAATGCTCAGCGTCTTGCAAGGCAAGGAGAAACTAAATGTCAGTGCTGCCATCAACAGGAAGCACCTCTAGTGGCCATCTTAGTGACTGCCACTAGGGGTGTCACTAGGCAGTAATGTAAACACTGCCTTTTCTATAAAAAGGCAGTGTTTACATTAAAAAGCCTGCAGGGACATGGTATGGATACCAGAACAACTACATTAAGCTGTAGTTCTAGTGACTATAATGTCCCTTTAAGCTTACAGGATTATTCACTAAAATAAAAATCGTCTGGAAGTCAAAGTGAATTTTACATTTAAGGCCAAAGTAGCTGACCTGGAAGTATAAGTGATTTTAAATGTGTGTTTTTTTTTTTATAAACTATTTTGTCCTTAAATTTGAAATTGTCTTTGAATTGCAACAATCCTGACATTACAGAATAACCCTTACAGGTTGCTCAGAGCTGTTATTTTCCACTCTGCGTTAACGTGTGTCTTGACCCACGACACCAGAGATGACACAGGAGACATGGTTTCAAAGGGGGAGGATTTCACTTTCCAGGATTTTTTATACTGTTCTCACTTAGCCCCTATATCTAAAAAATATGTGTTTGTGAGGTCTGAAAAATAAGATTACATGTACTACAAATCCACACTGCCGTATTTACCTTGGTCATGGAACTACGTGCCTCAGTCATGGCTCCCTGCCAATCATTGTCACAAGCTCGGCCCTTTGTACCTGTTAGTCAGCATAAAGAGAGCATAGAGAGACGAGGAACAGAAACAATGTCCTTGTCCACATAAAAGGCCACGTAGGTAAAAGCACAAATCAATTCGACTTACAAAGTCTTCATCCTGGTGCCACTGATTTCACCAACCCTATCACCAGGGTGCACTAGGAAGAAGTAATGAATTGTGCACATACATTGTTATACAGTTACCAATGTAGACTTTCATGTGAACTGAGCTGTTTCTATCTCCCTGGTGAATGCTGTTGATCCTTAAAGTAAGATACGTTTCCTGCAATAAAGAATGTCAGGATTATTCACTATAGTAAGAATTCAAGGTGAATTTAAAAGGAATTTTACATTTAAGGTCATAATAGTCGAACTGGAAATATTCTCTAAATCGGTGATGCTCTCAGTGCAACTACTTTGGCCTTAAATCTGAAATTCACTTTGAATTCTCAGTTTAGTAAAGAATCTTGTGTATTTTACTGTCATATTGCGATATGCTCCTTCCATTTAAAACAAGCAATGTACTTGACGGCCCTTTAATCAACTGCTGTATATAATGGACTGATCCCTATGGCTCAATATAAAGATTAATCCTTGCAGTTAGTATAACCCCTTTACTGAGCAGACTGCCAGCTGCTTTTTTACAGATGTAAAACAAATCTCAAATAGAGGATGAATTAACAGTGAGTCGTAACAAGGATATATATTTGCCTGCTGGTGGTATCCGCACAATTTCAGCCTAGGGAGGTCAGGCAAATTAGTTGTTTTATTCTTTTTTTTCTTGAACCTGATCTGCAAGTTTCAGTCTGAAAATTTTCACTCACTGGAAAGCGATTATTTGTGAATATTAAAGACAAAAATACATTCAGAATCAAACACTTGCCTCACCCAAACACACACCTGCATTTTATTTACACATACTATAAACATTTATACATGCCTGCATGCTAAAATGGCTTGGCATCTGACTGTGGGAGGGTACCTGGGCATTCCCGGCACCATAACCACCACAGCAGGCTGTAGTGGCTATGTTGCTTGAAGTGTTCTTTAGAAAAATAAAATAAAAAAAATAAACCCAAACAATATATATATCATTTTTTTTAACGTATCAGTAGAATCACATTTAAAAAATGTTTTGCATAGGTATCCATTACTTCCTAGTTTCTTGTTACCTTTTTTTTCCGACATCTCCTGTAGATACCACAATCCATGGCGCTTGCATGCTTTTACACTTGGACTTCGGACTGTTAAGGGGAGCTTTCTGCTTGTTGATCAACTTGTCTTAACCTATTCAAAGAGAACTAGGTAAATGTTGTGGATTTAAAGGGATTCTATAGTGTAAGAAATATAAAGTTGTACACGTGAATAGGTTTTTGTTTGATAAGTTTGAAAACACGAGAAAAAAGGGCGACGCTGAAAAAGAAAGAAGTGAGCCTCACATCACAGTACAAGCATGCAGCATTATCAATTATGATTTATAAATTTGTTGCTGACAATGTATAAAAAGTCAGAGTGGCTGGTTTTATTTGTCAGATAAGCAGCTTCCAAAGTCTTTCTAATGTCCAAAAAACCCAACAAAAAAAAAATGTGCCTTTTTCCCTAGTAATTATTTGTCTTCTCATTTTACGAATATTGTTAAGGGTAAAATCACCAGAAAAAAAAAAGTACATAAATAAATCAATCAATCAGAGAGAAGTATAGAAAGTGCCGCAGAGCAAGATTATGTATTATTTTAAGAAAAAAAATCAGGAAAATAAGAACACGTATAACGAGGTAACAATCTGATATGGTTGAAAATGGTGCATGCGCATAAAACAGGACTCTAAGTGAAAGCAAACAAGACTATTTTTTATAGATAAACCCTATAGCAGTGACGGTGAACCATATTGAGCTCGAGTGGCCAATATGCGTGTGATATGTGTGCTGGGTGCTTGTTTTAATTTACCTGCATTAAAGGACCACTATAGTGCCAGGAAAACATACTCGTTTTCCTGGCACTATAGTGCCCTGAGGGTGCCCCCGCCCTCAGGGTCCCCCTCCCGCCGGGCTGGATGGCGAGGAAAGGGGTTAAACTTACCTTTTCTCCAGCGCCGGGCTGGGAGCTCTCCTCCACCCCTCCTCCTCTTCGGCTGAATGTGCATGCGCGGCAGGAGCTGCGCGCGCATTCAGCCGGTCTCATAGGGAAGCATTTACAATGCTTTCCTATGGATGCTGGCGTCTTCTCACAGTGAGAAGCACACAAACGCCTCTAGCGGCTGTCAATAAGACAGCCACTAAAGGCTTTGGAGGCTGGATTAACCCTATTATAAACATAGCAGTTTCTCTGAAACTGCTATGTTTATAAAAAAAAAGGTTAATCCTAGAGGAACCTGGCACCCAGACCACTTCATTAAGCTGAAGTGGTCTGGGTGCCTAGAGTGGTCCGTTAATAAAATACAGAAATTAAAAAAACATTTTTTTGCTTACTTTTAATTGCAGGGAGGGGGCTATCTCATATGATCCAGTGGAGGTTAATAATAAATACCTGGTGGTCTAGTGGGGGTTAATAATTCCTTTGCGTTCCAGTGGTTTTAATAACAATTTGCTTGTGGTCCAGTGGCGAAGTGCATGGTCTGCACCTCTGCCTGGTACAGACCATATTAAAAGGCCAATAAAAATATCCAGGCTGCTTCATCTCACTGAAGTGGTCTGAGTATAGTGGCCCTTCAGTTTTAACACCGCAATATAGACATTGCAGAGTTGTCGAAAGTACAATGTTTCTATTGCAGGGCTAAAGCGGAACTGTCACACCATACTTACCTTTTCCCAATCGCTTCTGTTTCTCTTCCTCTTTCCTACTCTATCTTTCTTTTTTTTTTTTTTACAAATCTTTCATCTATTTCTAACTAAACACATAAGACAAAGTAAAGACTCATGTATTTTTCCTACACCCAACTTTCCTAGACACTGGGCCGAGATACCGCCGTCTAGAAGTGTTAATCACCCCAGCAGTCACCATTGATGGCTGCAAGGAATCGGCTCTGTCTATAGAGGATCCAGCAGTTTCCCGGGATGCTCCATAGACCTCATGTGTGAGAGTACAGCAGTGGCATTGGCTCCCAGCACTAGAACAACATTTGATTGGTTCAGAACTGAGATTTACCGTGCATGTTCACTACTTTCCATAGGGAAGCATTGGGAGGGCTGAGTTCATCAATCTTAATAATCTCAGCCAGGGAAACGGAGTGGCGGCAGTGAGACAAGTGTGGCGAGGGAAGATAGATTAGAAGATTCCTAAATAGGTAGGGGAATACTGTAGCATTAGGAATACATGACAGATCATTTAATTACTCTTTCCGGTCCTGCACTCGGTAAGAAAGTCAGAGTGCAGGCTCGGAATCTTGGTGCCAGCATTCTGACTCGATCCCTGAAACAACAAGGGAGCAATTAAACCGGTCTGCACCAGGAGAAAGCACAGACTATGTGCTCCACCATTATTTTATTTGACATATTGCCATTCTTTTGATGGGGCCGGTAGTATCTTTGGACACTGTGCCCCTAATGTGGACATTTCAATTAATTTCAAAGTCCCAACGCATCCCATTACGTGTTTATTTTTATTTTATTTGTTTTACTAAACTTTGTAAAATAAAATATGAAATGCAACATTTAGGCTACAACACCAACAAAAACTGCAAGTCGAAGATTAGTGAAAAAAAAATATATTTTTTTCTCTCCAGATTTTCAATTTTGCAAAGTGAATACTGTATACTCTACTAATACCAGCACTGGCCTCTAGGGGCGGTGTTGAGTTCGCAGCCAGCCAGCCAGCCAGCAGGCGCGCGCACCCCTCAGTTTACAGCAGGAACACTGCAGTCAGCGAAGGAGGGGGGGAAGGGGCGGGGAGAGAGGACACGTTTGGGTCATGCGTGCGCGCGCGCTCGCGCGCCCCCCCGCTGGTTCCTCCTCCCCTTTGCCGGAGAGAGCACGGCCCGGTACGCGAGGGCGCGCAGTCAGAGATCGCGCGCGTGCGCGCCACTCACCACACACACACACACACCTGGACTATACCAGACCAGAGAGCGAGACCCGCTGCGCGCGCCGGCCTGGCCCAGGGGTGGGTGGGAAAGAGCGCGAGACCTGGGCGGGAAAACAACCTGCTGCTTTACTCACTCACACTCCCTCTGTCACCCCGCCCTCCCCTCATGCCACCACTACAAACAACTTCACACCTTACTCAGCTTTAACCCGTGGGCTCCCCAGGGCTGGGCTCGCCGTTAATTATTCACAGGGGGGCAGGAGGAGGAGGAGGATTTTGTGGGAGGCCCCAAAGCAGAGAGAGGGAGGGTGTGTTGAGGGAGTCTCTGTGGCTACCTGTAGGTAAATATCAGGGTGTGAATTGGGAGATCCGGCCTGTCCCCTGCCCTCCCCCTTTCTGTGAGTGTGAGGAGGGGGGCAGGTGTGTGCTTCCTGCTCTCTGCTCGCTAATACAGGCGGCTGCACCCTGTACTGACCCACCCGAGGCCTGAGTCTGGTTCTGGTTCTGGGAGAGGGTCCAACACTGAGCCCCCAATTCCCTGTGGCCTGCTCTGTAATAACCCTGGGAGCTGGTGAATGTAAAGCCCCTGAGGCCTAGACAGGGTGCCAGCCAGCATTCTGCAACACAGGTGTGTTTAAATCTCTATTAAAAGCATTACTCTAGATACATATTGATGCTGGTTTGTGTAGAAGTATTGTTAAGCCATTTTGGGTTTTTTTCACAAAAAGTAAATAGGTTATTTTGCTTTTTTTGGTGTGTTTTTGTTGCTGCCCCCCTCCCCTCCCCTCCTCTAGAAGTATATTGTTTATACAGGAGTGAAGGAATGATAACTGGTGATATATCTATAGATTAGGAACACACTTTTCACCGGGCAGCTCTAGAACACACTCCCCAAAATATTCAATAATAAAAAAAAAAAGCCAAAACCAAATTCATATCACCCACCCCCCACCCCACCCCTCAATGGTCTTGCCAAAGTGGATATTATATATAAATAAATAAGATGTCCACGCGAATGCCACTACCAACCGTGAATGAGCGTGACACAGAGCAGGTAAGTGTGTGGATTTGTGCCTTTGCAGACCTTTCTACACATTGAGCTTCATCTTAATCTGTCTGGACATTTATGTGATTTATAAGAGTGTGAGGGCTTGTCATCAATAATTTACGCAAATGCATTTGTGATATTGTGCATTAAAATGCTGAGTGCAAGAACAATGTTATATTTATCGTTAATGTGGTCTTACCTGCATAGATAATGTGTATCCTTAAACGTTTTGAATCCACTATTGTCTTTTACTCCTACAAATTTTTATTGAATAGAAGTCAAGCCACACGGGGTACGTAGTAAAGCAACAAAAATAATAAATATTAGGATGAGTCCTTTCAATACATTCGATTAATTAGCCCCACTTTATTTTTTTAACTAAAATCACAATTAAACTTGTCTCTAAGAAAGAATTAGATGCATATCCATAGTCTTGCATGGTATTGTTAATACCAGATTTTCAATATGATCAATTATTGAATCTTGTATTCTGAATACCCTAGTGGCTTTCTGAATGAGAGCTGCTAGAGACGGGAATTAACAATTTGTAAAAAAGTTTCTTAGGAATAGCAGTGTTTTCATTTTCAAGGCTGCAGGGGTAGCCTTTATGCTACAAAAGCACTCTATTGTGTACACTTCAAAGTAATTTTGAAGTTTACAGTGTCACTTGAATCTGAATTTTGTTTCGGTTATATCTTCCATTCTGGTATTTACATACTAAGCTAGGGTGGTATGGCTAGTTAACTCCTAAATGACAGTGAATTGAGCAGTGAAATTGCGGGGGAATGATCTATACTGGGGTAGGCAACCTACGGCACTCGAGGCTGCTAGAGCCAAATGCACTCTGGCCTATCAGCAGTCCCAGTAAAACTTCAGATATCTGCTAATACGAAGAGGTGGTGAAGGACAATCCTCAATTTATGCATTGCAGCATATAGAGGAAGTGATCTCAGATTACTTCCTCCCAGCACTTGTGAATGGGAATCCACACTGTAGTAGAGCAGCCCTCGACAGATATCGCAGCTGCTGTCCTTGACCTGTACCTGGCCAGCCTGGTCCCCACTGGAACCCAGGGAACCCACCCACACTGCTAGAAATGCAGAATAACCCTCCCCTCATACAAATAATATGAACAGCCCACACACAACACACAATCCCCACAAACGCAACACCACTAACCATATACATACATGCACACAACCCCACATGCAGCCTCTCACATTCAATACACCAAACAGCCCCCACACACTACCAAACACAAGTGTCATATCCATCCACACACAATTCCACAAGCAGCCCTCATACACAGCCCACATTCATTTGTATCATACACGATACCATAAACTACTAATAAACATATACAATATAATGGCTCATATATGCACAAATACAACAATACAAAGCAACTGCAGTATAAATAACACAAGCAGAATACGGCAGCATACACACCTCAATTAAAAAAAAAAATAGGATCGGCACACTACAGGACATCACAATCCTATATCGGCACAGTGCTGCTAAAAGGTTGCCTACCCCTGATCTATACACTAAAACTGCTTTATTTAGCTAAAGTAATTTAGGTGACTATAGTGTTCTTTTAAGTCAAAGTTGTTTTGGTGTTTGAAGTATCCCTTTAAACCATTTGCTTAACTATGAATTAGAATTACAGGCATCCTGTGCCATTGCTTCTTGCAAACATTTCCTTGTTAACCAGAGAATTAAATGAAGTAATTATAGGCTAAGAGTACTCATATCAGTCTATCACTTTAGCCTATTTCTCGAACAGCTATACCAATCTGTAGAGGTTTCGAATGGTCTGGGTAAACGTGCCATGGGCAACCTAGGACCCTTGTTAAACTGTAAGTGGTTTAACAGTGATTCAAGAGATACAGACAGGATACTTCAGCCATCACTCAAAATAAATTATGTGGTTAAGATGCCTGGAGAGTTACATTAGAAACCTAGAATGTGTCTCTGGCCTTAGCTAATAGTTAGGATAGTCTTATGCATATCCCACGCATGCTTAAACTCTTGTACTGTGTTAACCTCTACCACTTCAGCTGAAAGGCTATTCCATGCATCCACTACCCTCTCAGTAAAGTAATACTTCCTGATATTTTTAAACCTTTGCCCCTCTAATTTAAGACTGTCCTCTTGTTGTGGTAGTTTTTCTTCTTTTAAATATAGTTTCCTCCTTTACTGTGTTGATTCCCTTTATGTATTTAAATGTTTCTATCGTATCCCCCCTGTCTCGTCTTTCTTCCAAGCAATACATGTTAAGATCCTTTAACCTTTCCTGGTAAGTTTTATCACGCAATCCATGAACTAGTTTAGTAGTCCTTCTCTGAACTCGCTCTAAAGTATCAATATTCTTCTGAAGATACGGTCTCCAGTACTGCGTACAATACTCCAAGTGAGGTCTCACCAGTGTTCTGTTCAGTGGCATGAGCCCTTCCCTCTTTCTACTGCTAATACCTCTCCCTATACAACCAAGCATTCTGCTAGCATTTCCTGCTGCTCTATTTCATTGCCTGCCTACATTTAAGTCATCAGAAATAATCACCCCTAAATCCCTTTCCTCAGATGTTGAGGTTAGGATTCTATCAAATATTCTGTACTCTTTCGCTTGGGTTTTTACATCTGAGATGCATTCTTGTACTTATCCACATTAAATGTCATTTGCCACAACTCTGACCATTTTTCTAGTTAACCCAAATCATGTGCCATTTGGCTTATCCTTTCTGGAACATCAACCCTGTTGCATATCTTAGTATCATCAGCGAAAAAACATACCTTACTATCAAGACCTTCTGCAATATCACTAATAAAAATATTAAAGAGAATGGGTCCAAGTACAGATCCCTGAGGTACCCCACTGGTGACAAGCCCATGCTTCGAATATAGTCCAATGACTACAACCCTCTGTTTCCTGTCACTCAGCCACTGCCTTACCAATTCAACAATATTGGAATCCAAACGTAAAGATTGCAGTTTGATAGGCCTTCTATGTGCAACAGTGTCAAAAGCCTTACTGAAATCTAGGTAAGCAATGTCTACTGCACCACCCTGATCTATTATTTTAGTTACCCAATCAAAAAAATCAATAAGATCAGTTTGGCATGATCTGCCTGAAGTAAACCCATGCTGTCTCTGATCTTGAAATCCATGTGTTTTTAGATGTTCAACAATCCTATCCTTTAACATTGTTTCCATTACTTTCACCACTACTGAAGTAAGGCTTGCTGGCCTATAGTTGCCCGACTCCTCCCTATTACCTTTCTTGTGAATGGGCACAACATTTGCTAACTTCCAATCTTCTGGGACGACTACTATTAGTAATGATTGGTTAAATAAATCTGTTAATGGTTTTGCTAGTACACCACTAAGCTCTTTTAATAACTTTGGGTGTATCCCATCAGGTGCCATTGACTTATTTGTCTTTACTTTTAACAGTTGAAATAGAATCTCTTCCTCTGTAAACTCACATGTAACAAATGACATTTGCCCTTTTTCCTAACTGAGGCCCCTTTCCTTCATTTTCATCTGTAAATACTGAACAAAAATACCCATTGAGGCAGTCAGGTAGACCTTTATCCTCTTCTATATACCTTCCTTCTTTTGTTTTTATCTAACTAAGCCTTGTTTTACTTTCCCTTTTTCATTTATGTATCTAAAAATAGTTTTGTCCCCATTTTTATTTTATTTTTTACTCCCTGTGCTATTTTCTCTTGGGTGACCTGGCTCTAAACGCTGGCGGGCGGCATAGCATGTCCCCGCCGTCCAGGGTACTTACCCACTCGCCTGGGATCGCATCCCAGAGAGTCCGACTATAGCTGATCCGGCCCTCCTGGGCCATGTGATAACGAGGACCTCACGATCACATGGACGGAATAGCTGTCCATAGCAGTGCCAGCAGGGGGAGTGCCTGTTAAATAAAAGTTTAAAATAATAATATATACTTATGTAAATTCGCTAAAAAATAAAATAAATAATTAAAAAAATGTCATTTCGTTCTTACTGTATTCTGAGATATATATCTATCTCTATATATCTCAGAATATACGTAGAACTAAATAATATATCTATATACATAAGTACATACGTATATATCATATTTATATATGATATATACAGGCAGACAGTCCAGGGAATTTAATTTGCTAGCACTATATTTAACCCTGTAACTTTCCAAGACACCTAAAAACCTGTACATGGGGGGTACTGTTTTACTCTGGAGACTTAGCTGAACACAATTATAAGTGTTTCAAAACCGTAAAATGTATTACAACGATGTCGTCAGTGAAATTGACTTTTTTGAATTTTTCACACACATGCCACTTACATGGACAATATAATTGTTGTTAGGGATGCACTGAAATTGTCCTGTTTTGGCCAAAAACAGGTCAAATTTGCCAAAAATAAATAAATTTTTAAACATTTTTTATTTTTGTAGTGCATAGTTTAAAGGACCACTATAGTGCCAGGAAAACAAACTCCTTTTTCTGGCACTATAGTGCCCGGAGGGTGCCCCCACCCTCAGGGTCCCCCTCCCGCCGGGTGGATGGAGAGGAAGGGTTTAAACTTACTTCTTTCCCCAGCGCCGGGCGGGGAGCTCTCCGCCTCCTCTTCGGGAGCCGCGCGCGCATTGAGCCAGTCCATAGGAAAGCATTCACAATGCTTTCCTATGGACGCTGGTGTCTTCTCACTGTGAAAATCACAGTGAGAAGCGCGGAAGCTCTCTAGCGGCTGTCAATGAGACAGTCACTAGAGGCTGGATTAACCCTAATGTAAACATAGCAGTTTCTCTGAAACTATGTTTATAGATAAAAAGGGTTAAACCTAGCTGGACCAGGCACCCAGACCACTTCATTAAGCTGAAATGGTCTGGGTGCCTATAGTGGTCTTTTAACAGACATGCTTGCATTAACAATTAAGATTATTATATATCACAATGAAAGATAGTAATGATAACGTGAAAAGTCAATAATACTGCACTATGGGACAGAGTGGGGGGGGGGAAGAAACACTATGGGAGGAGGGAGGAGAAACATTTTTCCTGTTTGTGACCAAGTGGCTACTAAAAAAGACTGGACTTACCCCATTTGCAATACCTTGGGTTGTCTACTATTGCAAATGGTATGCCATCCTGGGCTACCACACGGTCTCAAAGACATCTGGCGAATTTCAATGTGAAAAAACTGAAAAATGTAACATGCTATATTTGACCCTGTAACTCTCCAAAACACCATAAAACCTGTACATAGGGGGCAGGGCCGCCATCAGGGCATGACAACCGCAACGGTTGTCATGGGCCCGGCGGTCCTGGGGGGCCCGGACTGCTCAGGTCGTCCGGGCCCCACATTCAGTGGGTACATACCGGGTCATAGGGGGCCCTGCGACCCGGTATGTACCCACAGGGCCAGCCTCTTCTCCTGGGGGGCCCAGCAGCCGGTCATCTTCCGGCTCCGGCATCAGTACGGTGCGCGAGGGAGCTGAAGAGGAAGCAGACAGAGAGTGCTCCCTCGCGCGCCGGCCGGCTTTCAGGGAGAAAATTTGAGTGAGTGGGGGTGGTGGAGAGGGAGGGAATAAAATTGAGGGGGGT